ATATATATAAACCAAAGGGCTAATATATTAAAAAGGAAAGTTACATATAGGTTGGATGAGAGAGCCCAATTAATGGCACCCCAACCACTCGGTATACAAAACACACTAAGGTCCTAAAAAAGAAAAATACATGTATACCCAAAGTCAAGATTAAAACATATAAGTGTAACCTCTACGCCAAAAGTCTGTCAAACACACACAGAATCAGGTAACTTGAGAACAAACCAATTTGGCTTTACCTCTGCCTCTGGTTCTACGTAGGAAGTCAGCTAACAAATGGTTAAGTTTACTTTCATTACCCGAAGTAACCAAAGTATCATCCATTAAGTTCCTGAGTTCAAGCAGACCTCCATTCTTCTTCTTCTTCTAGGATGTGTAAACTTGTCATTCTTCATCTGAAGATTGGCACATTTAATCAGTGGATTGACCCAAAGATTGTTGGGCATGTATATGCTTGTTGCACATCTTGAACCCCTTGCGCCTGACTAACAATAACAATCTGCTCAGTCTGATGAGGTGGTAGAATCGCAACAGAAAGATGGTCAACTGTTGCATTAATGATAGGTTCTAGGGTAGGTGAAATATGAAATGTACACACACACACACACACACAGATATATATAATATATAGATACACACGCGCGCGCGTGTGTGTGTGTATGCATCTATATGTATTGTCTGTATATGTGTAGCAATGTGTAAAATGCATAATCAAAATAAAAGTATGATCGTAACTGATAAAGATTTAACTTATCAACAATATAAGTGTGAAGAAATAACGTGCATTGAATTAATGATTAGTGATTATTAACTATAGTTTATGAAATTAGATAATAATATAGAAAATTTTTTATGTTAATTTATACATATTTGAAATAAAGATAAGGGAGGTGTCAAGAACTCGATCCAATCCATAAGAGTGCCCTTGCACATATACAAGTATTTTAAAATGTAACGACGAAATGTTTTGTTTTCAAGTAGTTTTTCTGTTGGATGCAAAGGATGCAAAGCAAATTCAATGAAAATTTTCAGTTGGAAATAATGTAAAATAAAACTAACTTGAGTCGAGCTATTCTCAACACGCCCCGCTCAAAGACCTCTGGTCCCTCCTCACTTGTTGCTGAAACAATCCTTTCCTCAATCGAGACATTGCCAACCGATAGTAAATTCAATGAAATTTTTTCCGTTGGATAGAATGTAAAATAAAACTCCCTTGACTCCAACTATTCTCAAAACCCCCGACCCACCCCCAAAGTGACCTCTTGTCTCTCCTCACTTTTTGCCCAAACAACCCCCTCCTCAACCTCTTCCTATACCTCCTCTCTAAGCACCAACATCCCACTCCCCCCTCTCCAAGAATCGCCCTCTACAAGCACCATTCCACCATCTTCCCTCCTTGACTGCCACTGTCAGATTCTCCTCAAGTATTCTGGGCACTCAACTATTATAGACACCTCCTTCACGACCGCAGCTACACCCTTTCAATCCTTGCTAAGCACCTTCCCTATCACAGAAGTAGCCACCATTTTAGCCCCCAAAACATCTTCGGTCTTTGCAGCTACTTACACCTCTATGAGCATTGCAAATTTTTTTCCAAACCAAGCCAAAGACACCCCCACACACAATAAGGGAAATGAAATGCATCAAATTTATTGAACTTACTTTAGAAGGAAAATGAAGGTTTTGAAGTATTTCAAATACTTCAAAATTTTATTTTGCTTTTATTTTACTTCCAATCAAACAATAAAAAGACTAAATACATACCCAAAACGAAATACTTCATAAAAAATTTACTGGCAACCAAAATATCCCTTTCCAAAACAGTAAGTGTAGATCATATATACAAAGAGTTGTAATTTATAGTAAATAATACCTCAGGTAAGTCATCAGACAAACATAGGGCAACAGATGCCCAAGGAAAAAGATGAAGATTATATTCTTTGGAAGCCATCGCTGCAAGAGCTCCAAGTCTGCTTGATGCCGATGCCATGCCCTGCACTATGAAAAAGGTTTCCACTCTTCTTTCTGAATTACATCCAGTGGTGGCCTCGCAAAGAAAATTCACCAAAAAAGATTCTAATTGCCAATCTGATTCTACTGATCTATATGATCTCTGAGGATATCTACAATTACGTGCAACTTTTTCTTTTGATTCCTTTACAGCACAAGAGTAAACTTTATGTGGGCTATTTACACCAGCTTCCCACACATAGAATTCAATTGAAATAATGCTTTTGAGAAAAAGCAAACTAAAAATTGCTTCTTCATAAAGTTTGGCAAACATACAGGAAATATCATCTGCAGTGTACACTTGCTTAGAAAGTTTACTGACAGCGGCCTGATCAGCATTCCTTAGAGGAAAACGAAATAAAGTTCCAGGGAAAGGGTTCTTCATGTCACATCCAAAAGCACAATATGGTTTAAACTGATCTTCATACAAGGAAATTGCTGATGAGATAACAAAATCAAGACGCTTTCCAGGATTTGCAGCTGAAACATTGGGAAGGTATGAACCATGGGGATCAAACAAGACAACATATTTGTTGCTTACAAAGGATGGCAAGTCGGTCAGATGATACACAGAATTGAAGCCCACGCTAATCAAGAAATAAAACATGCTCAAAAAAAAAGCTTACTGAAGAAAACATTTACAATGATGTAGCTTGAAAACTAGAAAACCAATATGAAAATAAAAAGGGTTAAATTTTAAAAATAGAATTTTTTTTACTTACTAGTAAAAAATGACAAATTAAAACTAAAATGAAAATTTGTAAAACCGGGGCCCTATCGTGTGGCAGCATGTGCCGCATGTGGTACACACCACGTGACATTTTTTTTAATTCTATTTTAATTAATATTAAATATCATAATTAATTCTGTTTTGGCTCCAATATTTTTTTATTCTTCAAGTTTTATCAAAATTTTATATGCATGATTCTTTTGTTTATTTAATTTTAATAAATTATTTTTATTATATTTACTTATTTATTATTTATTACATACTTTCGGCGGCATCTTATCCGTGTTTTTTAATCCTGTTTTATAACATAATGATGTCAGTCTGTTTTTTAAGGAAGATTTACCTACATATCACTCAGTTCCTATGTATTTACATATCTAATACCTAAACTTCAATTTTTACAAATGTGCCACCTTAGCCATGCATGAAAATATGCATTTTACTTTTTAAAAGTAAAAATAGTTGTACTTCTAAGGTGATATAAGAGATTTGGTAAAAAATAAATTATAGGTGCTAGATATGTAAATACATAGAAATTTTGGGGTATGTTTGTAAATACCTCTTTTTAATAGTAATAAATGAAGTAAGAAAAAAGACATTTTTTTAAAATTGAAGTTTTGAAAGATTTACAAGCATACCACGTAATTATTATGTATTTAGATATATAATAGTGATATTTTTTACATAATATTGAAGATTTAAAGTGATAAAAATATTTTAAAAAATATTAGATATATGAATACATAAAAAATGGGTGATATATATGTAAATGCTCTCTATTTTATTACTATAAAAAATTTAAAATTAAAAAAGAATAGATTCCGGCGTTTTGAAGAGCGTGAATAAGCTTATGAATTGGTAGTCTTAAAATAATAATAAATAAATAAATATAAAAAATAATAAATTAGTAAAATTAAGTAAACAAAAGAAACTAATAGCATCTTTTTGAAGAATTAAACCAAGTGTTGCCTTCACATTATCTTATTTCTCGCTACAGCAGACCGATAACTTTCTTGTTAAAGTCTGATGATTTTGGTATAAAATTATTTTAATTTAATATTAAAAAATATCATGTGGCAAAGTTGCCACATGGCAGGGCGACTTTGCTATTGTATGCTACGTGACAAGGCAATTTTGTCGTCCTTTTTTTTTTAATTAAAACCTTAGAATTTTCTATTTTTAAAATTTGTCCATTATAAACAACCCAGTTATCATATATATGATAAAAAGATAATATTTCCTATTGATAGAACTTAAAATAATAGAGGTTGACTTGGTGTTCACAGCATGAGATTAACATCAGTGAAACTATTTGGACAGTATAAGAAGAAGATATTAAAGCTAAAAAAAAAATCAAATATATCTTCATGGTCCATTGTAAGTTTGAACATTAGCATAATTACCATACCAAGCTAAGGATCTTCCAAAGAAAGAAAACAAAAATTTTCAAACAAACTTGCTAGGCATCTACAGTTCATATGTAACAAGATCATAGGTTTAGAAGCTCAGAACATTACCGCAAGTTTACTGGAATTAATTTGTGTCTTTAAGCAAGACATATAATTTTCTTTAACATTTATTTTCTTTATTTTAGGATAGCTAAATTTAAGATGATTTCCTCTACAACCATTTTCTTTTTTTCTTTTAAAGCGGGAACAACTTCATGCCTGTGAATTGCAATGATGGTTTATTGAAATTATGCAGAAGTACTTCACTATTGTAAAAATCAATAGAGTGATATGGAATCTAGCAAGGAAAGACAGGTTAAAGGAACTAGCCTGGCTTTGCATAAGCAACTCTATTAGCACAGCATAACACAGCTGACTTAAAATATGATAAACGCCTCATAATAACAATCGTTTAAGCCCCACACCACAACACGAATAATCTCATTGCTAAACTAGGCAAAATCTTGGCCTTATCAAGATGAAGATAAGAAACTAGAAGGCCAAAAGCTAAGAAGACAAAAGTTAGAAAATGTCATGTGGCCAGAATGAGCCATGACTGTGACAAAATCTGAATCTCTACAAAAAAGAAGGATTGACCGCTACATTCTCAACACTAGGGAAACCAGGCCCTGAAAGAGAATCCACCGAAAAGGAGTGTTCTAAAAAATATCTATAAATCTTATACAATCCAATACAAAATGTTCCTTTTCCAAGCTCCTTCTCACCTAGATTCTATTCATACATTCAACAAAATAGAAACTCGTCCTAAATTCTATTCAAACATTCAGTAAAAAGAGAAATTCATTGCATGGCCCCCATCTCACAGTTCTAATCTTCTAGTCCAAATTTTGTACATCAACAAAAATGCCATTAACTAGAAACAATACTATGATTTATGTGAACATAATTATGTATAATCCAGAACAGAAATATCTAACTAATGTTTATCTTCCTAACACAATGTTTGAGAACCTTCTCATAATTACCATGCTAATTATAAACCGATAACTAGAGCTAATTAAAACGAATAGCAAGTTTATTAATTGACAGAGACAGTTACTTGCATTAATAAATTGCCTAATAATCAATAGTTAATTACTATATAATCAATACTACATACAAACTGCATAACTTACTAGCACAATAAGGTCATGAATGTGAATTGCCTTAATCAAACAATATACCTCACAATTGTGCATGCATCTTCCTCAAAAAGTTTAAAATTCCAAAAAAACTAAAGCTCCTAAACCTCACATCGGAAGAATTTTATGTCAGAGTTCTTGTTTGACAAATCAAAAAGCTTAAAATTTATGCTCATTAAAGCTCCAAGAAAGTATGAATGCACCCAACATTCCTTAAGCATATTCATCAACTCCAAAAAAAATAAAAAAAAAATTCCTACGCTGCAATCTCTCAACAGCGTATTGTCACAAACACAATGCATCGAGAACAGAACTTACCCAAACCGGCCGGTCTTCGAAGCCTGACTCTGCTTCTTGCTGTCGCCAATCCGTGAGATGCTTACAAAGTCGTCCTCCGTGAATTCCGCGTCATTGAAAGCGAGAAGCGCAGGGCCCTGGAACTGCGAGAGCTCGCTGGACAGCAGCGAATTCACGCCATGAAAGCGGCGATCGAGGCAAAGGAAGACCTTAGTGGCACCGGCATCGTCCGCATTCTGGATCAGCTCCTTAAGCACCGTCGTGCCCTCCGGATAATTCACCAAAACCTCACGAATCCTCCTCGTTAGGTCGACCTTCTGCCCGAAATCCTCCAATAGCAAGTCGGTGCCGCGCGGAGAATGATCCATATCCAATGTTGGAACGCAAAGAAAACCCTATTGGTAAAGCAAGCCGATCATCGGAGGCCCAAGACCTAGAAAGTTAAGAGACTGAAATCACATCGCAAGTGAAGTCTACTTTGAACTCAAAGGCGAAGGCCGGTGCTCACTGCAATTGCCCAGCACGTCTCCCTCCGACCGGAAAAAAATTATTAGATCACCAGCACTCCGCGCATGTAGAGCGAAAAATTATTCCATCCGGACGCAGGATCCGGACCGTAAATCACATGGGTTACGGTCCTGATGTATTTCAGTGGGCCCCACTTAAAATTTTTTATTTTTTTTTTTAAAAAACGGAAATAATCCTGACCGTAGATCACCGTGATCTACGGCCAGGATCGAACACCGCATGCAGAGATGCATGCGGTGTCCGCACGCAATAATCCCCCAGAGTATTTTTCTCCTACGAATAAAGTGTTAAACTCCTACGAATATTTTTCGCATTATCTTGTTACTGTATAAATCTTTTTCACATTTTTAATATGTTGTTAATCTGTTATTCATGAATAACACTTAAATAACATATCAATAACACATAAATAATACTAAAATTATTCAGAATAATGTGAATCGAATATTCATATAATACGTCGAGTTAGATCGTGCATTTTTAATATGTTATTGGTGTATTATTCATGTGTTATTGAGGTGTTATTCATGTCAGGGAATATTTTCGCGTTTTAATGATTTATTGGTGTGTTATTCATGAATAACACATCAATAACACACCAATAACACATGAATAATGTGAAAATTATTCAGAATAACGTGAAGGCAATATTACTATAATACGCTCGAGCTGGGTCGCGTGTTTTTAATGTGTTATTGGTGTATTATTCTCGTGTTATTGTTGTGTTATTGAAATAATATTTTCTGCATTATTCATGTGTATTGGTATTATTGTTTAAAGAACAATAATATCTCAAATCAACTCAATAACACATTAATAACACACGAATAACACAAAAAATATTCAAAATAACTCCAAGAAAATATTCTTATAACATGGTCGGGCCGGATCGCATGTTTTTCATTTTTTTTATGAAAGTAGGTCACAGCTTTACACGTGTCAGCTTTAGATTAGACTCCGCAAGCAGCTCTACACGCAATGTTCATATAATAATTTCGCCCGATCGCAATTATGTACAGGTACCCAAAACATTACTACTTACAAATCAAGCACTCTCTTTCATTCATTTTTCAAATTCCAATATAAAAAATTATGATAAAATCTTACTCATATATTTTTTTAAATTTTTATCAAATTTATAATAACAAAAATGTAATATTTTTTAGTTCAAAAATTTATCTAAATTTTTTATTTATAAATAGTAATATTTATTGTGATCTTTATGTAATTATCCTTATATTTAATTGCAGCATAAAATTCGATGAAATTTTTAAAGTCGGCCTTACGAAAATTTGCATATTTAAAAATAAAAAAAAATTAAAACAGACATAATCGCATGGAGATTTTGTTTGCTGACTGCTGAATATTATGTGATTTTGCAATGTTTTTTTTATAAATATTTTGTATTTTAATGATAAATTGATTTTCATATAATTAATTTAATAGGAATATGATTTCATCTGTATATGAATTGTTATTTTTTTTTAATATTAGTTATTAGAATAACTTATATATTTATTAATTTGATTATAATATTTTGGGGCATTTATATAAATAATACACAATTTTTTATGTACTTTCGAATGTAATACCTAAAATTTAATTATTGCATTTATGCCACCTAATTAAGGGTCTGTTTGGGACAGCTGCAACTTATTGAATAATCTGTTAATAAACTAGATGTGGTGGTTATTGCAAATTTTTTATTTTTTTAGAAAAGTCAAACTACTGTCAGAAAACTGCTACCACACCTAGGTATGTGCGGTTTGAAAACGTTGTTTTCAGCGTTCTCAAAATGTATAAGCAGCCAAAATGCAGTTTACTCAAACAGGTCAGGTGTGCTTTCAAAACACTACCTCATCAAATAAGCTGCCCCAAACGCACCATAAATCTTTCCTATCAAATCAAATATATAAATATTTTTTTCTTTTTTTCAAAAGGGAAATACATTTTTTCATAAATACGTGTATGTAAAAATTCTAAGTTTAGGTGTTAGATATATAAATAAAAAAAATAGAGCGGTAAGTATGTATATAGAGTTAAAAATATATTTCTATATATCTTATATTTATGAATAAATTCTTTTTGGATAACTTTTTTGAATATTTATTAAAATAAGTTAATTTGAGCATATTTATATTTTCATTCAAAATTTTAGTTGAGCTTATGTTATGAAAAAAAATCATTAATAATTATGAGTCGAAAGATTTGTGATCATATAACATTTGTTAATATATAGAAACAACATTGTTCTACCTTTCATCCCAATAGAACAATAAATAGGGTATAAATAAGACGAGTTTTAAGGGTCCGTTTGGGGTAGCTGCAGCTTATTGAATAATCTATTGATAAGCTGATTTTAAAAATAATCTATTGATAAGCATAATCTATTGATAAGCTAGGTGAGGTGGTTATTAGAAATTTTTATTTTTCTAGAAAAGTCAGACCGCTGCTAGAAAGCTGTCACCGCACCTAAATAGGTGTGGTGTGAAAACACCGTTTTCGCTGCTTTCAGCGTTTTCTTTCAAAACGCATAAGCTGTTAAAATGCAGTTTACCCAAACAGTTCAGGTGTATTTTCAAAACACCATTGCACTAAATAAGTTGCCCCAAACGAACCCTAAGTGAGATGAACATATGTTCGTGTTGGACTTAATTGTATAATTTTTTGTTCAAAATTGACATGTGTTCAGAATGGCTCAGGAACATTCTAATTCGTATTCAGCTCGAAAAAATTTTCATGTTCCTTTTTAGCTCGTGTTCGGCTCAAATTGGTTGGTGTTGGATTCGAACATTCTCTATTCATATACAATAAAAGACACAAATCTACATGACCACATAAACTATGGTGATTTAAAATTTTATATAAATATAAATAATATATTACTATATAAAAAATATATATCTTTTCCTAATTACGAGCTAAAAAAAGTCGAACACGATCGAACAAAACGTTGTTCAAATTCAGCTCATTTATAATATAAGTTTAAAAAATCTATTCGTGTTCGGCTAACTTATTTAACGAACATGGCAAATATAAGCTACTTGGTGAGTCGAACACTCGTTGCTCACAAATAATGAGTTTCTCTTTTCTCACAGCCTTGCTAGTAAACCACAAAAGAGTCGCTTATTGTTTCCATTTCAGCTCTACAAATTCAATTGATCTCTAGTTACAATGTCAATGAAAAGTCTAAACACAAGGAAGCCATTAAAGATAACATATACATTGACACAAATACACACAAAATATAAATCTATGTCCCCATAAACTTTACATAAATTAATATAATCATTTTTATTTATATAATATTTTTTTACAAAATAAATTAAAAATATACATGACAAAATATACTTAATAAAAAATAAGTGCAAATAGTAAACATAAACATGTGATCCCACACCATAGTGACCTCTCAAAAAAAAGCAAATAAGTGACACCTAAATATGTATAAACATAAACACAAATATCCCAATCATGAACTTTTTAATCTATTTTAACTCATTTTTGGCAGGCACAGAAGATAAAATAAATAACTTGAAAGCTAAAAACTTTAAAATATGGCTTAACTCTGTTAAATGTTTTTCAATAATAACTTAAGAAGACCATTCAACAGATTACTTCATTACTTTCACAGGCTAAAAGCAAGGTGTTTAACTGCTGTGAGGCACAAATTATTGAGTTATATTTTTCATTGCTAGCTGTAATAACACTAAGCTTACTCCTTTTTTTGGTCAATATAACATATGATGCTCTTCTATAATGATTTTCCCATCTGAAGCGTCAGAATAGAAGACTTTGGTAGGGTCACCCATTCTAGAGATTGTCTTGATGACTTCCTGAGAAATGCTTGACAGCCAAAATTCAGATTGAAGCAGACAGCAATGTTGTTCGAATAGAGCGTAACAAAATGAGGGAGAGAGAGATGAATGAACAGTGATATTATATTTATGCCTCTGCTTTAATGGGTGGGTGTATATGATATTCTAGATGTTTTACATGAGTTTATCGCTCGGCTGTTCTCTTGCACGATTGACTAGGCTAGTATGACTTCGACTCGGTAAGACTGATTTGGTCGGCTAGGTTAGATCTACTCGGGTTGTCGTCCCTCAATCCATAGCACTCATTGGAGGGATGAGACTAGGCTATCGACCAAAGTTTGAATCACCGTAACCCGATAGGTAGCTTGTTCCTCGACGAGATCCTATAGAATGACCATAAGGCTCTATTGTATTGACAATTCTTGGTCACTGATGAAAAGCCTCGGGGGCATCCGTGAGACAGTTGGTGATTGTAATGAACTGGATTCTTTCTTTGGATCAGATCTACCGAAAGGTTGGTCGATGCATTCGGTCAACTTTCATATAGAGGTAAGCTCATATGCTTATCTTACTTTAGCCCAATTAGTAAGTATTCAGATCGTTCGGTCGTTTTTTTTTTTTTTTCTTATTTTTTGTTCCTTCTAGCTCGGTCGGCCCACAACTTTGACTCAAACGACTACGTTCTATTAGATAAGTGAATCTCCAAATCTTCTGTCGGTGAGCCCTCATTTATCATACTTCCTCTCTCTTTTGGATTGTTGAATCTCTTAGGGATCAGCACCAGCACATTTTCGATGTACAAATACAATCCAGAACACATTACATGAGGAAACAATGGCATAACTTTGTATTTACATCACTACAAGAAAACAAAAACTGTAAAGAAACAACAAATATCTGTTTTGATGCTTCGAAAGGAAGAATAAGTTCTAGAAACTGAAGGGTGATGAATTCACAGCGCATAAGACTCTCCAAGGAATCGATGAGAGGTCACTATACTGAAACCATTGACGGCATGATGAAAATTCATAAATTATAAACAACATGATTTCATAGCACTAAGCATTGACAACTTCCATAGTTGAGGCATACCGGATAAGGTTTAAGAATAAGAATCATTGCTGTACAAATGACATTAATAACCAGATATATTGTTATTGTACCAATGATTTTTTACATTTACAACACCCAAATCTTTCATACCACACAAAAAAAAGGGGAAATACATATTTTCATGCATAGGTATGGTGGCACACAAGTAAAAATTGAATTTTTGGTCGTAGATATGTAAATACATAAGAATTAATTGCAATGGATGCAAATCTTCCAAAATAAAAATAAAAAACTGAGATGGGATAGCAAGCAGTAGAGCTCGCAACGTCAACATACCTATGTTTCCAGCTTGCACGAGCTCCTTGGCCTAAGAAATAAGCATTATGAATGGCCAAGCGTAGTTCCATGGCTGTCATTGGTGGGGGAACCTGCACCCTGACCTCCTCAATATGTCTTCTTCTATTGTAAAATATTGTAAGCAGCATGAAAACTGACATAAAAAGCAACAGTGCCACAAATAAATAGGCTAGCCATCCCCTGCAAAAGCTCTGTGTATTAGAAAATACAATTATACGGAACATTAACTTTTTAGGTCCAAGAAAAGAGTATTATATTTTATAAACACAACCTTGCCTACCCACAACCAAGTTCAATAATAATAATAATAATAATAATAATAATAACAATAATAATAAATAAAAAGAAATAAAATAAGGAATTTTTTAGGTGCACTCACAACAAGAAGATCGGTTCTCCTAGCTCAGGCGATAATTCCTACACTATATGAGGTCATTGTTGTGATGAAACAAAAGGAGAGTCGCATGAAGCTACACTCTGAGCCGAGTGGTTTTTTAGGTGCACAATCAGCATTGGTTGTTGCAAGCCCATGTACACTGGTGTTCAGGTAGAGACTTGCAAGCGCTACAACTATTGTGAAGTTGTTCATCTAAGCAAAGCCTGTCTTAAGCCACCTATGGAGAGAGAAACAGATGGGCGTGGAAAAGGTGGAGGTCGTGGTCGTGGAGGTTGGAAAGGTGGAAGAGGGTGTTACCTGACAAATCTAATGGTAGTAGAGGACGAGGAAGAGACGTGTGATCTTTACTAATGAGGATCATGAATGTCTAGAGCTGTTGAAGAGGAAGCAGAAAGCAGTAGGAGATGCAGTTGAGGATGTTTCAAATCCTCGACATTAAGGGGTGACATTGCCACTTATACTCGCTTCAACAAAAGTACTGGTGACACTTGCTCTTTCATATATTTCCACCACAGAATCATCAAAATGGATCATAAATTCTGCTGCTTCTCATCACGTGACAGATATCGTTGGAGAGTTCTCTTCATATACTCATCAAGCAGTACCAGAGAATACACAGACCGGTAATGATACAGCGCGATATATTGTTGGTAAGGGTATAGTGAGATGTATCAATCATATGACTTTGTCTAATGTTTTGCATGTTCTTTATATCCCAATAAACCACTTATCCATTAGTGTTATTATTCTCCAGTTAAAATACGTTCTTTTTTTTTTATATTCCTCAGATTATCTTCCAAGAAAAAGGGATGGGTCGAATAGTTGGGATTGAAACACGGCATAGCGGACTCTGCTAAGTGGACCGAGAGGGGATTGACTCAGCTCTGGCATCCATGGTGGAAAGTGCTACAGTAGGAGAATTTGAGAGGAACGTCGAGGATGTGTTACTGCTAAATCACGGACATATGAGACATTCTAGTCTTCTTTTACTGAGTCAGTTGTATCTATTTATGTATGAAAAGACAAATAAGAAGAAACTTGAGCGTGACGCTTGTGAGATTAGCAAACTCACTAGGAGCGCTTATGTCAGTTCTGGGAATAGGAGCTCCGGTGTGTTTGATTTGATACATTTTGATATATGTGGATCTTGTCCTACTAGTTCTATGAATGGTTATCAATATTTTGTTACGTTTATTAATTGTTTTTCTTGTGTTACATGAATATATTTGATGAAACAGAAGAGCGAAGTGGTGGTTGGCTTTAAAGATTTCCACAATGCAATACAAACCCAATATGATGCAGTTGTAAAGGCACTAAGATCTGATAATGGGACAGAATGTATCAACAAAGCATTTGGAGACTACCTGTCAGCTCAATAGATACAACACCAAACCACATGTTCATACACACAAGCACAAAATATAGCAGAGAAGAAGAATCGACATCTTCTAGACATAACCTGAAGCATGATAATGACAATGAATGTCCCACAACATTTAGGGGCAAACAACGTTGACAGCCGCTCAATTGATTAATAAAATGCCCTTAAGAGTGCTTGAATGGAAGTCTCAATGTCAGATGTTGAAAGGAGACAATAGTGAGATCCTTCCATTGAAGGTATTTGAATATGTATGCTTAGTGAAAGACAACAGACCATCTGTAGGTAAGTTGAATCCAAGAGTTGTGAATGTGTGTTCGTGGGTTATTCTGCTACTCATAAGAGTTATGTTTGTTGGAGCCAAAATGAAAAGAGACACTTTGTAAGTATGGATGTGTCATACATAGAGTTTGAACCATACTACTCTCTAGAAGTGAATTCACTCTTTGATGACTCAACAGACACAAGAGATTTGAGGCAAGAGAAAGTGAGGAGTAGTGGTGATGAAGTGGTGCAAGTGAGAACAATGTCATGTCATGTGATGTGGGATGAATCAACTGAGGAGACGGAAATCGAGAATATTGACCTCATAGGTGGTGGGATTCAAGCCGAAGGAGAGTTGAGGGTGTATACACTGAGGAAAAAACAAACTAAGATAATGGAGTTTGTAATGCCAACAAGTCTCGTCCCGGTCTTCCCCAACTCTTGAGACAGCTACACCATCCACCTTTGATTCAAAACTCCCAGGTGATATTATTCCTCTTTCGTCCACTCCTACCCCCCAACGTTAAGGAAGACCTCCCGCATCCGGGACATTCTCCTGACTGTATTGAATGTAAACTTGACATTGCGAACTTTATTTTATATTCTAACAACTCACCTTTGCATGGAGCATTTATTACATGATTGGACTCTCTACACCCATGTGTTTGCAGGTTGTTAAAAATGATCACAAGTAGAAAGCGGTGATGCAAGAAGAACTTGAAGCTCTTGATAAAAACTGAACATGAGAAATTGTAACACTACCAGCATTGAAGAAGACAGTTGGATGCAAGGAGATTTTCAAGGTAAAACAAACTCCAAAAGAGGTGGTGGAGAGGTACAAAACACAACTAGTGGCAAAAGAATACAATCAAGCATATGACATTGACTAAGATGAAACTTTTGCACCAGTCGCAAAGATGAGCACGGTAAGGACACTAGCTTCTCTAACAGTGAATGGTGGATGGAGACTCCACCAACTGGATGTGAAGAATGTTTTTCTTTATGGGGAGCTACTGGATGAGGTATATATAGAGATACCAACAGGATTTAGTACATCCCAGAAGGTATGCAAGGTGTGTAAGCTCAGGAAGTCTTAGATGGCTCGAAACAGTCTCCTCGAGTCAGCTTTGACAAGTTTAGAATAGTGATGGTTTGCATGAGATATCAACAGATCAATGCAGACCACACCGTGCTCCTTCGGCAACATGAAAGTCACAGTATCATATTTGTTGTGTATGTGGATGATATAATTATCATTCGTGATGATGAGGCAGGATTCCTCAACTGAAGGGATGATTGGAGAAGAAATTTGAGGTAAAGGATCTGGGACAGTTCAAATACTTTCTTGAGATTGAAGTGGTCCATGAACCTGAGGAGATGATCCTATCCCAGATAAAGTATGTAATGAATCTTCTCATGGAGACAGGTATGTGAGGGTGCAAACCTACAGTCTCTCCAACTGATCAAAATGTCAAGTTCAGTACAGAGGCAGGTGAATCGATTGTTCGTCAAAGGAACTAGAGGCTGGTGGGTCGTCTGATATGTGCCACACTTCACCCGATATTTCTTTTGTGGTAAGTTTGGAAAGCCGTTTCATTGATGATCCAAGGGTCATATAAATGAAGTGTATCAGATTCTCAGGTATTTGAAGAATGCACCGTGGAAAGGGTTGATATTCAGGAAGAATGGATATGTAGATATTGATAGCTTTTATGATTCTAACTTAGAAAGTTGTGTTGATGATAAACGATCCACATCAAGATACTGCATGTTTAAAGGTGGCAACTTGGTCTCGTTGAAGAATAGGAAACAACCAGTTCTAGCAAGATCAACAACAGAGGCAGAATAAAGGGTTATAGCAGTAGCGGTTGCTGAGATGATGTGGTTGAAAGCCATGTTGGTTGAACTCAAATTTGATCAAGCAACTCGAATGAAGTTGTGGTGTGACAACAAATCAACAATCAGCGTTGCTAACAACTCGGTGCAACATGATAGAACCAAACATGTGGAGATTGCTAGGTTCTTAATCAAGGAAAAGCTGAATAACGGACTATTGGAACTATTTCATGTAGCCACTAGAGAGCAAGTGGTTGACTACATCACCAAAGGACTTAGCTCATTAGATTTGTCTAGTTTATGTGACAAGAAGGGCGTAGTGAATATCTTTTGCCCTTTGCCCATCTCGAGGGGGAATGTTGACATTGGTATCTAATGTAAGGTCTTATTTGTAAACAAATGAAGTTTAGGGATTTATTTGTAAATATTGTAACTTATAAGGTTATATATAAGCCCATCATCAATGAAATGGTGGCTTTTTTTAGCAATAATTTCTGTTGTAGAATTTCAAATTTAATGCAACGCAAGTGCTAAAACAATCACTGACCAAATCAAATCAACAAATCCAATGAGGCTCATAACCAATAAAAATTGCAAGAGCAAAGCAGCTCTAGCAGATTTGCCCAGGCAGATGCACTCAACAATTACACAAATAATATACAAAACCTAAAGGCCATCAGGTGGAACAACAGATACTTACCAGCCACCTCTACAGACTTCTGGAGCCAGCGAAGAACTCTAACTCCCACTAAAAAAAGCCTCAATTCTCCACATCTCAAATGCAGAGAAGTTCTGATGAGAAGTATTAGACAATCATGCATCTTCCTCAATTAGTTCAATCTCTGATTTGTTCGGAGAGGAAGACCTATAAATAAGGAAGAGGAAAAAGATGAGCTCAAACAAAAGATATAAAAAACATGAAACTATTTCAAGCAGCAAAATGCGTTTATATATAAGAATTTTTATTTAATTCCAATTTTTCTTTCCATCACTTCAGTGGGCATTACAATTATATGCAGTTGAATTGAAGAATAAAAAATAAAGCAAGACACATGTCATTTACCAACTCCAGGCAAGGAATAGTTTCGGCCAAGAAAAGGGCCTATGAGCAGTGGTTAAATTGTGATTTGTGTCTGACTTCTGTTATTTCATTTAAGTTTTGTCAAAAGCTAAAATGTGCAGCAGGAAATAATAATGTCATGATCCGGGATGAGCCTTGGAATTATCAAGGTGGGAACTGTCAGTCAGATGGAGGAAAACAAAATTGAACTATAATAATCATCATCCTGCATTCCTCGATAGCTGTACAGGTACTCATCCCATCTAGCCTAAAGCTGTTTCTTTTATAAAATGTTAGCAGCTAACGATTGAGTTAAAACTACCCAATGGACAAATGTTTCTAAATTACAATAATTCTCATTTTAAAATATTTCATAAAAATATAATAGAAAGTAAAAGGACGGCGAACAGAAAAAAGCAATAAAGAAAATTATTTTGTTTACTTTTATTTATTTTTATTACACTTTTTACTATTGAGAATCACTCTCTAAACGTATATTTAAAAATATGTATATTTAACTTTTTTCAGCCCACCATTAAAGGTAGACGTCCATTTTCATTTTCATTTTTGTGTACTTGCATTCGGCCGCAAGTACCATACAAGTGTGACTCCCATATGCATGCACATATCATATTTAACCCTTCAAAATTGACCTATTTTATATAATTTCACTGAACAATTGAGTTAAAACCACCCAATTCTTATGCATTCACATATCTAACACCTAAACTTTACTTTTTACATATATAACATCCAAATCTTTTGTATCACATTAAAAAGACCACCATTCTAACTTTTGAGAAATGAAACACACATTTTCATGCATGTAAGGTGACATGTATGTAAAAATTAAAGTTTAGGTGTTAGACACGAAAATGCATAGGACTTGAGTGATATATGTGTAAATTGTCCTAGAATAAAATACAAATGCTAATGGACATCAGATGGAATACCTGTTCGTTGTCAGCAGGCTCTACAAAGACCTTTTTTTCCCACTGATACAAGCCACAATTCTCCACATCTTTAACGCTGAGAGCTGGAAATCCCTGCGCATTTCCCACCCCAACGGCATTAGAAAATATGATGAGAAGGCTTTGACAAGCGTGCTCTTCCTCCATCAGCTCCATTTCTGACTTATTCACAGAAAGATCTTTCCATGGTTGATCAAAAGACCTACATGAAGCAAATAATGAGCTCAAACAAAAGGTAAAAAATCATGACACCACTTCTACAGTTTCAACTTTGACTAACAGAAGACTTCTACCGTCAGGAGATAACAATGAGATATCATAGATTTCAGGCACCGAATGCATAGAGAATGAAATATTTTAAACAAACCCAATAGTTTTTAATTTATATTGAACTTATTTGAAATGAGGAACAAGAAAAAATGCAGGATCGATGTGATTTACCATCTCCAGGTAGAAGTAGTTTCAGTCGGGAAACGGATCTTTGAGCAGAGTGATTGAATTATGTCATAGTTATCATCGAAATATTTCTTCACTCCTGCATATAATTTCTGTAAAAAACTAAACTAAAAGCTGGAAAGAATATAGTAACGTATAAATGCAAGAAAACGTGAAGCAAGAAAAAATATTATCATGGAAGACTGCCCAGAATATTTTGGCATTAACTGCCTGATTACCTTCTAGATCTTTCCCACTAAAAGCTAATGCAAGCTTGGAATTTTACAGTCAAGCTAATTTTGATAAAGTCCTCTTGTTTCCCAGTCTGACTACATCAATTGTTTTTTTCATCAAATATATATATTTTATAAAATAAACTAGAGATGATGAACATTTAGCCTTTTAAAAAATTTCCTACAAAACTGAGATGAAGTATTCATATGACGCATTATATATACATAAATCATACATAAATACACATACATACATACATACATACATATCTATACATATCCTTGTGATAATATTTGTGATGTCAATGACGGGATATGCTTGAAGAGGCCAAGTGATTCCCCAAATTTCCTACAGCATATTGATGACAAACACTTGTGATCCTTGATTTCAAAGGTGATTATTGAATACATTTTGCCCCACTCATAAGAGCAAGATGAGCCTAGAAGATGGATACATCCAATTTCAATGATGAGAAGTCAATGAGCTACTTGACTTCATCAGAATTCATGTTAAAAAGGGATGGTGTATAAGGGATTGACAATCACCTAAACTTTGATGCTGATAGAAATAGCTCAATAGCATTAAAGACTACTAGTATGATTTCTTGCAACAAATAATTGGGGAGATAATAATTGTAGCGTACCAATTTTAAAAGAACTGAACCGTCTGATGCCTAATTCCCACAGACATGCCCCTTTCTCTGATTCAAGCTTCATGTGCCATGTTCACTATATCTTTATGATCACTTTCAAGAAATCTTATGAAAACAAAGAAATGACACGTCCTACCACCAAGTAGCTTTGCCACCAAATGACACCACAAAAAAATATGATTAAGATTGAAACCCTCTGATCGGATGATTTAATGCAAAACAGCAACATTAAATTATGGTCATGGTGACAGTTCGCAAGTTTTCCAATGGTCTAAATTCAAAAAAGTGATAAATTATTAAAAAATTCAAATATAATACAAAACCCTATGTTAGCTAAGTTTGATAAAAAAGTGTCCCCTTCGAGAAAGATTCATTTTAAGTATATGAGATCTAATTGGATGATGTAACCCATGACTACTAACAAGAATCCTTCAATTACATTGAAACTATTATCTCATTTGACTAAGTAGACTAGGGCTCACAACAAATTGAAACAATATAGCCATGGCTCTAGATTAGGTCATCATCATTCTCCCACCATCAGCTCTAAGCAAACTATAACATTTTTTTCAATCTACAATCAAACTACAGCTACAATATGCCAAACATTTGGCATATACCGATTATCCTTAATCAAAGATTAACAGCCATCATCTAGAAAGATGATTAATCATAGCAGTTTGTGCTTATGAAAAATATTAAATCAGATCTTAAATTACTAGCAAAATAAGTGTGGATTCTCTTAAATAATGTATTATTTGCAATCTAATATGTCTACTAAAATTTTGGCCCATAACAAAACAAACTCTCATAGGAGAGTCAGGCACAAATTTACAGAGTTGATAAAGCACGACCTTTTGAAAAGTGAATAATTTTTTAAATTCAAAAACGCTTTCAAGTATAAATCTAAATTCTTAATGTTGCAAAATGTCCACGAACGGGTTGCCTCACCTATAAGTTAAATTTGAAATTCTCAGCTCTTTTAAGACTAATCACCTACATCATAAGTAATGGAGCTGACAAAAGTTGTACAACAAATTCAAAAGCAACTACTATTATAAGATTGTTTTAAATGATTACTCCCATTCTACTCGAGCAAGTTTGCTTAATCACAATTGAGAATATGGTACACAATCGCAATCATCGCTCAACATAATTTATTATTTATTTTTTCAAGATAATTTATTTTACATTTGCTTAAGAAATTCAATTTCAAAATACAAACTTTTAAGGTCAATCTAGCCTATGCAATAGGTTATAAGTTCAGTTCTTCAAATAGACACAAACCTCTACATATGAGTGTGGATTCAACAAGATTTTTAATACAGTGAATATCGAAATAAACTCAAACCATACACAAAATGGAAGATATTATCTATACACAAGCAAGCAAAGTCAATAAATTCCAGAGCAACAAAATAAAATAACATGTATTCTCTACTGATGGTCATGTTAAAAACAAATCTCAATTAGAGATGATCCTATCTTCAAAAAAACCCTAAACCCCCAGACAAATCGTTTAGGCCTGGGTTCAAGTAAATATTAAAAAAATGAAATTTATCGTTTAAAGCTAAGAAAAAAATACATCCATCCCTCATAATAATTTATTGAGAACAATACAGTTAATGTCATATAAGGTGTATTTTTCTGACCACTCACAAAATTCTTAATACAAGTTTGAACATAGCATGTGTCCTCTGACAAAGTCATTTTACCGACAAATGGCACAAAAAAAATTATGGTTTGTTAGTTGTAAAATGGTGCCATTAAATTATAGTCATGGCCAAAGCCCATAAGTTCTCATTAGACCAAATTATTTATATGGTGAATTATAAAGTGCACTTGTGTGGTATAAAACTCTATTCAGTTAAGGTTGACATAAAATCATCCCTTTAGACAAACATCCACTCCATGAATATAAGATCTTCTTAGATGACATAACTCTTGATTGCCAACAAACATATTTCAATCGAGTTAGGTTAACTACCTTTGTTGATTAACTAAACCAAAGGACATTAAATTCACCATCTTTCTCCAATCATTTGCTCTAAGCTAAGGCGGTAACTTTGTTAAAGACAAAAATGATATTATTATAAGCTAACAATTAACTCCTGTTGACTAGTCTTAATTGGAAATTATCTCTCACCAATAGGAAAGGGAATTAATCATAAAGACTTTCACCTAAAGGAAACCTAAAACTAGATCAAAAAATTCTTACAAAATGATGGATGAATCTTTAAATAATAATAGAATTAATCATAAGGGTTTTCACCTAAAGGAAACCCAAAACTAGATCATAAAATCCTTACAAAATGATGGATGAATCTTTAAATAATATCTTATCTAGAGTTTAATTTGCCTTACCAAAAATTTTTGACCAGAAATTCAACACTCAATAAACAGTCGGGCACAAATTTTCCATGCCAACGGATTCATTACAACATAGAATTTAATGCTTTGAAGTGAGTCTCTCGGCATAAAAAATAAATGAATAAAGTCAATAGGAACACAAAAGATTATGTATTATGAGTCAAGAGGAATTTCCCATCTAAAAGATTTTAAAAGATTTGGATGACACAATGTTAGTTTGATAGTGAAATAGAAGATGGTAAGATGATTGATTTTCTTACTTCTAAATCATCATAATAAACACAATGTAGCTAATCTGAATGAAAAGAGTCAATAGATTATGTATTGTAGCTTTATCGCATAAAGTGAAACTCTAGTTAATTGAAACCAACTATTTAGATGTAAGCTTACAATTCATGCTCATCAATTAAGAACATACTTCCATGTAAAAGAATAAAAAAAATGACTACTAGCATCTCGATGGATTTATGGATGAGCATATATCAAAATTACCCCAAAAAAAACAGCTAGACGCACAGTGATTAGAGAATTAAATACAACAGGAGACATGTGTACCTTCTCTGCTTGAAGCAGCGCTCAGGAGTAATGCACAAAGTGCAGCTACTACAGATAGAAAAACACACTTCCTGCTAAGAAGATCCTGGAGGTGCAGAATCAAAATAGCTAATGACTCATTAACTACAGAACTGTTCTTTGTAGCATCCGTTGAAATTATTTTAAGATATGCAAGCATATTTTCTTTCCCAGAGATGTTTGAAGACGTGCTTATTTCACTTTGGTTGCTTATAACAGGTCCAAGGATAACTGCAGCTGATACCCATCTCAACAGTTTTGATGCAAGAGATTCCTCTATCTGCTCTTCACCGCATAGATTAAATAAAGCTGAATTAAGATCCTTGGCAGCAGACTTCTTGTTAATGTTCGACCATAAAACAGTTGGAGCCGCCCATGTAAGAAGCTTAATCAAAATTTCTTTATGCTGCATAAGACACATCAAAGAAAGCTCAATGACTAAAATAAACACACAAAATCCATTTTCTATATGTTCGATTGGGAAAACTGCCAAAAGTTCTTAATAGCAGATCAGGATACAAAAAGAAAGTGGCAAAGAAAATATCAAACCATCAAAACACTTTCCTTCATACCATCAAAACAATAGAAAAAGAAATTACGAGCATGAAGAACCAAGATTAAAGCATCTACACAAGAAGTTTCAAAAGCAATCTTAATTATGGGTTTCATGACATCAGGCCTGCTAACTTTTTTGCTGATCAATTCAGCCTGCAGAGTAGAATTATCCTTTCACACACACACACTTGCAACATCACTATTGCGCACACTAATGTTTTCAAGAATTACCTATGCCCTCTTAACTCTATATGCAGACTGCGGATTTTAAACAGAAAGCAAAACAGGTTACAAGCCAACAGAATAAGCCTAACCAAATAATTAGAGGCAACAGCTCTGTAATTTCAAATAATGCACATGCCCCAACCTAAAATACAGACAAACATACAAAAACACACATCCTCTCTCCCCCTCATCCCATTAAAATTTAATGTCTTTACTTATTTCAAAAATTATTAGCAGATTAAAAAGAGAGAGAAAAAGTCAAATTAACTTGAAAAATATACTCTAGGTGTCTAAGATGTGAGTTGGTAGTAGAATTCTAAAAATTAAATTGAATAGAAAAAAACAAAAGAAAAAGTCATACATAACGGATTACACAAGTAGCATATTCTCGCTTTCAAAAAGAAGCAAAAAATCTTTGAAGAATAAAAATTACATGCAGTGTAATTCGATGGATTCCCACTGTTTTCATTAGTTTCATATTTAAATATGTTCGCCACTTTGACAGCTTGTCACTTTTGAAATTTTGTATTAGAAATGAGATCCTCGGAAGGAAGAATGATTCTACTATATAAATCACATTCTCCAGGTCATATTGTTAATATACTTGAATTTTATAGAGCAAGTGCAAACATTATTAGATATTCAAGTAACTGATCTCCTTTGATTGGCTTTTATCAAAGATTATGTCAAAAAAACAACAGTGACAATAATCATTTAGTGTCATGGCTAAAAAATGCTAGCCTCCAAAACTTGCCAATTTTTTTCCCAGTAATAGTTTAAATGTTTTGTGATCCTTTACTGCTTTTTAATGCTAATTTTTAATTTTTTTGACATATTTTTCACTCGAAGCATACACTCATTTATTAATACCGTAGTAACCTCAAAAGTTTTATGCACCATATAACTCAATCATAAACCTACATGTGGCAAGTGATGGATGCCTCCCACGATATATTCATTCAACACAAACCTTCAGCTTCCCTCTAGGATCTTCCTATGGAAGGTCCTCAGAGCAGCGATCAGCTATCCTCTTAACAAGGAAACCTAAAAAGAGTTTTTCAATACGTACATCCTCAAATATCCTAGAGAATCCCCTCAGTTCCATCCTCCACCGCTCCATCCAAAAACCTAAGAATGCAATCAAGTAAAACCAACCACAGAGAAAATCAAACACTTAATCCTATTGTCTATGGAATTCAGTGAGCAATCAGCAAGTCATGGTGCACTAGACTTAAACAATGTGAATCTAGGTCAGAGTAGGATGATATAGCATATCAGAATATCATCATCAAATTATCGTTTTTTCAACAATGTTTAGGTCGCAGTCTCCATGATCAGTGCCTCATACACATCCTTACATCTCACGACCTCATTTCTAATACCCTTCACAACCTGTCTAGTGTACCTATACCACGTCCTATAGTCAATATCATGCAACCAAATACCTACTTCAAAATCAATGCCAAGAGACAGATACTTCTGAAGAGAAAATGACAGGAATTTGAATTCTCTTCAAGAAAGGCAACAAAATGGAGCACGACACAACTTAAATGATATTGAAAACATCAAGCCAAAAAGGGATTGCGAACATTTGACTTCTCTGTCACCCAAATAGAAAAGCCTTCTTTTTGCCTCTTCCGCCTTTTCTTCCTACCCACTTGCAGGGAATAGCATTGTAACCCAAACTAGAAGAGAAATTCCTCTTCACCTCACTCCAAAAGCTTGTTAGGAAGAGAGCACTCCTTTTAGACTCAATCACATGGTTAATAGCAATTTCTCCATGGATTGTACAATGTACATACATCACTTGATCAAACAACTTAAAAAAATTCTACGACGTCCTGTTCACTTTTATTTTTGAGTTCCATCAAACACTCTCTTCTACCTCCACATCAAGTATCCAAATCGGATTATGCATTCCCTTCTCTCAAGATGAACCTTCAATGTGTGTACTTGCCGCCTTGACCCAATGAGTTTCTCCATCAATGCCATCACTGAGAATTGTTTAGTGAGCACATTTCTCACAAGTATAACCTTGAGAACACAAGTGTTTCTCGGGAAAAATTAACTTCATTGACCATTCATAAGACTTAATGAATTAATAAAAATTTATTCACTCAAAATTAATCCCAACCATTCAATTAAGAAGCAAAAAGTTTCAAGTGTGATATCTATGTAATGGTGGAAAGGTAAGGAAATGGTACTTTTAAATCTACGTCACTAGATTGTTTCAAGATTTGTGACAACCCCTCAATCAAGCCTAAGAAATACGACATTAATCTCTTGACTTCCACAAGAATATGCTGGCCCAAACCAGACCATCCACAACACCAACTTAGTGCCACCAACATGATTCTAAGAAATAGATTTGGATCTATAACAAAATAAATCTCAACTTCTAAAGGAATTATCCATCTATTCAATATTTCCAGGGTATAATAGTCTAACCGTAATCTTAGAGATCAGGTGGTTAAATCCTCAAATATTTTCATCAATTGTGAGATAAAATGTCATGTACATTTTTGCTTGCAACAAATCTTAAGGATTAAGCCTCTCCCTTATCTGACACTCATCTCAGCTAAACTACAACACTATTCTTCATTGAATCCCTTATAAATAAAGAAACTTCGTTTTTTTCCATTATTCCATGGGATGGTGGAGGGCTCTCCTTTAAGCTCTTGCACATATTGTCACAAAGTAGAAATTCGTTGATTTAATTTCAGTGCTCGACTCAATCACCAATTTGAGCATAGAAAAAGATAATTGGGGATAAAATCCCTACATTGACCTTTCTAACGGCATAGCTAGCTATGTTTATTGCACAAATTCATAAATCTTGGAGTTATCCAAGTGGCAACCCCTATTGTTCTATAAGCTTTTCGGAATACTTCATGTAAAGAGCATTCAAATTGATAAATTTTTAAAAGTTGATATAGTTCTTCACAAAATATTTTCTATTAAACTAAATTGAAATATGTTTCTTATAAACAAAATAGTTGCTAATAGAATTTAAACAATTGTTGATGTGTTTTGGTAATATTAACATGAGATGATGTGAACGATAATGCTTTTAGTAATCTTGATGTACTCGTTCAAACAATATATAAAAAGAATGAAAAGAAGCAATTCCAAATGAAATAAGAATGATTGAGAAGATCGTGATATCTTTCGGTCATCAGTTGTAAAAAAATCACTCTAATACAAACTAGATACATAAATAGCAATATAAGTTTGAAAATTAAAAGAAAATATGAAGAAAATAAGACAAAATATACCAAATAATTAATTATGATTTTTTTATGTCAAGTCGATTGCAAACGATATAGCAAATGCGAATTTTCCAGCTTAAATTGTTGTATTATATTGACGTTTTAATGTTATCATGTATTATGATTATGCCATAATTCATATAATTGTGTTATGCCTTTAGTATGTTTGTATGCTTATATGATTGTAGGTTTTATTTCATGTTTAAATAATGTAACGGTGAATTATTTATTATTTCCCTTGATCATTTCAATATTTAGGAGCTAAGGCCAATTTATTATAGTAAAAAACATTTGAGTGAAATATCCTTCTATAAAATTTGGCATAAAATGATAGGTTCATCAGAATGTTTTTTTGCGCATGTTATATGATCTTATCAAAGTGTTAGGATCCTCCATGTTGTGTGCAAAAAATTGTAGCTAGTAAGTATAATTACTTATATTCTTCCACATATCTTCCCATACTCTTCAGCATCCACTCTCCATCCTTTTCATTCTATCATCCTCCATCACACCACCACTTACACAAAAAAGCCTGCCCACCAAAGCTGATCCACCAAACTAACCTACAGATTGTTGTTTCAGGGGGCTGCAGCAAGTAAGTGGAGAGAAAGAAAAAACAATAGTTTGTTGTTTTCAGAGGGAGAGGCAACAAAGATGTAGCAACGAGGGTGGAGGGAGTCAATGCGGGAAGGGATAAGAAAAGATATGGGAAGCATAAACACCACTAGAGATCAAGATACAGCTGACACAGCACTTGGAACACCTAAGATATAGCCCTAGAGGGGAAATGAGAGACGTCAATGGCAGTCCCGAAACAAACACACCAAAAACTAAACCTTAAAAGGTCAAAAACACATATATAATCCTAGGAGCTAGGAGTGGACCCCCTTCTTGAAACAGGCGACACTCCCGCTTGAGAGGGCTCGTCGGCCTCCCGAGTCCTAAACCAGTTCAATCTAGGTGTCCATACGCAAGCGTCACAAAGTATTGCACAAATTAGAATCACCGCCAAACGCCACCATCTTGTCAACTCCAAAACACTTTGCGAAGCCAAAATCAATCTCATATAAACTCTCATACTCTTCTCCACTTGTCTCGTTCCTATCATTACTCTTAGACCAGTTCAATCTAGGTGTCCATACGCACGTGTCACAAAAACTTGTACAAACTAGAGGCACCATGAAATACCACCATCTTGTCTCCCTCCTAAATACTTTGCAAAGCCAAAATCAATCTCATATAAACTCTCATGCTCTTCTCCACTTGTCTCGTTCCTATCATTACTCTTGAATCGCTTTCTGCCAGGAAAATTGCTGCAGTGAAAGGTGACGGCGAAGTTAGGTACAGCCCTTCATCG